CGAATATTACAGCAGTGAGGGATGCTGTCGAATATTACAGCAGTGAGGGAGGCTGTCGAATATTACAGCAGTGAGGGAGGCTGTCGAATATTACAGCAGTGAGGGAGGCTGTCGAATATTACAGCAGTGAGGGAGGCTGTCGAATATTACAACAGTGAGGGAAGCTGTCGAATATTACAGCAGTGAGGGAAGCTGTCGAATATTACAGCAGTGAGGGAAGCTGTCGAATATTACAACAGTGAGGGAAGCTGTCGAATATTACAGCAGTGAGGGAAGCTGTCGAATATTACAGCAGTGAGGGAGGCTGTCGAATATTACAACAGTGAGGGAAGCTGTCGAATTTTACAGCAGTGAGGGAAGCTGTCGAATATTACAGCAGTGAGGGAAGCTGTCGAATATTACAACAGTGAGGGAAGCTGTCGAATATTACAGCAGTGAGGGAAGCTGTCGAATATTACAGCAGTGAGGGAGGCTGTCGAATATTACAGCAGTGAGGGAGGCTGTCGAATATTACAACAGTGAGGGAAGCTGTCGAATATTACAGCAGTTAGGGAGGCTGTCGAATATTACAACAGTGAGGGAAGCTGTCGAATATTACAGCAGTGAGGGAGGCTGTCGAATATTACAGCAGTGAGGGAGGCTGTCGAATATTACAACAGTGAGGGAAGCTGTCGAATATTACAGCAGTGAGGGAGGCTGTCGAATATTACAGCAGTGAGGGAGGCTGTCGAATATTACAACAGTGAGGGAAGCTGTCGAATATTACAGCAGTGAGGGAAGCTGTCGAATATTACAACAGTGAGGGAGGCTGTCGAATATTACAACAGTGAGGGAAGCTGTCGAATATTACAACAGTGAGGGAAGCTGTCGAATATTACAACAGTGAGGGAAGCTGTCGAATATTACAACAGTACAGGACAGAGGAAAGGAATGGTGCACATAACCACCTGGATGGTTGGGGATTGAACATTGACCTGCATGAAGCGAGACCATTGCTCTACCGGCCAGCCCAAGTTGCTGGGTTGGCCATAGGGAAGCCAAAGGTTAATAGCCCTGTCAGATATAGAAGTGTTTTGCGAGCAGTTATATCCCAGGCAATAACTAATATTCTTAACTTGACTTTGAAGATCTTATACTTGTGTATGTTGAACATACTGACTTAATACATTACTAACTATTCATAAAAATGGCTTCAAGAAATATATTAAAGTAAAATTATAAATCTACAAAGACAAAAATTCTAATTTATTAAGAAATTAGATATAAAATGAAGGAAAATGAAAGGGTGTTCATCTAATATTCTTAAGTTTTCATTATAATAATGGTGCAGTTATACATACATAACATATTTAACTCCAAGGAGCCTCAAGACTTTCATCCTCGCTATATAAGCGTCATCATCATACATAACGTAACTTTGAATTCAGTCTTAATATGTTCATCCATTTACACAAAGTACCATAAAAAAAGGTAATTTGTTATTAATATAACTTATTAACAAAGTCAACCTAGGGCATTTAATTAAGTACAGAAATACGTAATGAAAATAAGAAATGATCCAACTGTCTGTGAAACCTGAGGAGCTTAAGTGAAACGCTTCGAGTACGCACGATACTGTCTCTTAACACGCACAAGACTGTAATCCAAGACTATCTTGCTAACATTAGCCTTTAATTAATGAAATACAGGCTCAAGACTTTGATTTTCAATGGAATAAAGCTTATTAAATTAAAATAAAAATTAAAATTAAAATTAATAAAAAGCTTATGAATTTGAAATATTCTATATTATAATCATTTAGTATCTCATATATATATATATATATCATATGGTAAACCTTGAAAAAATACAAAAAAAAAACTGGTGTTCTAGTTTAAAATCATGAAAATTTGTTACGAAAAATTAAACTGATCTAACAAACGGAGTCTTCTAAGAAGCTGTACAGGTCACGTGTTGTACAACCTACAACTATATTGCAGCGGCCATATAAGAGGAGCTTGGAGATCAAAGAATAAATGGCTAATTCCGAACCCATGACTTGGTAAGTTATTGAACCTTGACAATAACTGTGTGCAAGCCTGTTCTTCGGCACTAAGTGGAGTGCCACTATATACAAAGGCAGTTAACGTGCATTTTAAGTATTAATAAATGCATTAATCAAAGATCTTCTACTATGAGATATTACTCTTAAGCTTTACTAAAGACTTCAACTAATAACAATTAAATAAGTGCAAAATAAGTACTTGTGTCTACAAAAATTAATACAGTATGAAGTCTCAAGGCTCTAAAGACATATTAGGATTTTCCCCATCACAGTGGTGAATGAAATAGCGGGACCAAATACGATCAAAACGATTCTAAAATAAGAAATGTTAGACTTTTAACATGATATGGTCAACAACAGAGGCACAGAAGATACACACACTATCCGGCAGAATTCAATGTGAAGAAGTAGTGTGTGGGGGGTTACAATAATTAAGGCAGAAATGTGCAGACTAATATTTCTGACACTAAATATTGAAGTTTGATAAATCATTCATTCACAATTACCAGATCCCAAAGACTGAGGCACTTGTAATACCATTATTTCCCCACACACAGACAGTAAAACAAACATCTGAATGGAGCAGAGCAATTAGAATGTTTTTTGTTTTTCTTATACACATACAGCAGTGATACGTTTAACTCTGTGGACGACTCGATGCATCCTCTAAACGGTTGCCTCTATATTATTACAAACACAGGATTTATAATACTCAAACCTCACCCATTTAGCCATTGTGGTATTATATTAACTACAGTATTACAATTCCATTCTGAGGCAATAGTTGCCAATAGTACAGTAATAATAATAATATTGAGAAACTTACTACAATTCTGTAGTGTTTGAATGAAGGTGAAGGAAAGACCCAATACATGTGAATATGTATTAATAAACCAAATTTTCAGTACAGTCGGGTTCGTCCTCGACTCACAATCAGGAATTCCGGGTTCGAACCCCAGACACAAAAATGGTCGAGTGCGTTTCCCATCACCTAATATATTCCTAATCACCCTTGTTCACCTAGCAGTAAACAGGTACCCAGAAGTTAGTCAGCTTGTGGGAGTTGCATCTTGAGAAGGGTCTGTAGTTCAACCTTAAGGGGGGAGGAAGAAAGGACCTTGATATGAGCCTAACATGTAAATATACACTGGCTGCCTGTCACCCAACACAATGCATTATTCAATTATTAATTACTCTTTATCAAGGTGCTGGTAAACAACGATCTGCAGACAGAACCTTGTTTAACAGCACCTTGATAAAGGCTGCAGGTTTCATCTAAAAAAAAAAATTGGGTTTAATAATATATTTACACATGTATTGGGGTCTTTCCTGCACCTTCACTAGTAACATTTCTACAAAAATATGTATCCCAGGAATCACTAATATGAACCCTGCGAAGGGCATCAGTACCCCGGAAACACAAACCGTAACTGTCTCTATTTTCCGCGTGTTACAACTTGTAATAAAGTTGTTACATCTTGGCTTAACGTGTTTACGACGTATTAGAACGTTGTTACAACTTGCTATATTGGTTGTTATAACTGGTTAGGTGTTAAAACTTGTTCGAACGTTGTACCAACGTCGTAGTTTCGGTGTGTGTTTGGCGGGTATTAACCCTAAGAAGGGCATCAGTATTAACCCCAGGTAGGGCATCAATATTAACCCTAGGAAGGGCATCAATATTAACCCCACAAAGGGGTATCAATACTTGCCTCACAAAGGGCATCAATATTAACCCCCCCCCCCAAAGGGGTATCAATATTTGCCTCACAAAGGGCATCAATATTAACCCCCCCAAAGGGGTATCAATATTTGCCTCACAAAGGGCATCAATATTAACCCCCCAAAGGGGTATCAATATTTGCCTCACAAAGGGCATCAATATTAACCCCCCCCAAAGGGGTATCAATATTTGCCTCACAAAGGGCATCAATATTAACCCCCCAAAGGGGTATCAATATTTGCCTCACAAAGGGCATCAATATTAACCCCCCTAAAGGGGTATCAATATTTGCCTCACAAAGGGCATCAATATTAACCCCCCAAAGGGGTATCAATATTTGCCTCACAAAGGGCATCAATATTAACCCCCCAAAGGGGTATCAATATTTGCCTCACAAAGGGCATCAATATTAACCCCCCCCCAAAGGGGTATCAATATTTGCCTCACAAAGGGCATCAATATTAACTCCAGGAAAACAGCCAGGTATGCATGATAGAAAAGGCATATTGTGAACAAAATAACCTAATAGTCAACTAACAATAAATAACAACTTAAGGCGAGAACATTACGCAATAAGACATGACAAAGTGGAAGACGTTATCAACAGAAATAAAGTGCTCAATACAAGTTCTGAAATTTGATAACACTCTTAAGAGTCAATACGTCCTATGTTAACTCCCCCATTATAATATACAGTTACATTATGTACACTACAATATGTTACAATACCAATTTATCTATACAACCATTCATTATATAGCTTTAGAATAAATAGCATTAGATGAATATAAAGTACGGAGCCCGAATTCAGTAGTCTCTCGAGCATTGCTATGTTTGGAATGCCTTGGAAAAATATTTACAATTTACAGTATTATCTCTATTACATTTTCTCTGAATAAATCTGCTTGTGTAAACTTCAGGTTCTTTAATTAGGCTACTAATATTTACCTCTTCTTTTTCTCACCTAATGCCATACAGTGTTATGAACACTATTTTTGTTGGAAAGTCAAAATTTTGCCAATACAGTTTCAAGTGCTAAATGAAGAACCAGGAACAACTCTTCAGTGTGTTTGCCGACCCACTGGCAGCTACCAAGACTTTACTTGTATTAATCTTGAGATGATTTTGGGGCTTGGCGTCCCCGCGGCCCGGTCCTTGACCAGGCCTCCTTTTTGTTACACATCCCCAGGAAGCAGCCTGTAGCAGCTGTCTAACTCCCAGGTACCTATTTACTGCTAGGTGAACAGGATCATCAATATGAAAGAAACTCTGCCCATTTGTTTCCGCCTCCACCGGGGATCGAACCCGGAACCTTAGGACCATGAACCCCAAGCGCTGTCCACTCGGCTGTCAGGCCCCAGTTGAATGTAAATTACGACACTTTGGTGACCAGAGTCAAATCAGTTGTAAACAGTTGTTACATTAAAATGACTGGTCAACTAACCAAAAATGCATGATATGTACTCCTGAATAAAAGACGAAAAACGATACTGGATGATTTGAGGTACAGTATCATGTTCTGAAAGCTATGATAGCAATGAAAGTAATCAGAATGCTCATCACACCTTGCATCTTATCTAGAAATTTGCAACTATAAGATCACTGAGAGTCAATGCATGGATACAGGAGAATCAAAATCTATAATACTGATACCCAACCAAACACATTATTGATGAGCAACTAGAAGGTATCCAGCAGTGCCTAAATTATCTCTCCCCCCCTTCATTTCATTTCCCCAAAACGAGAAAAGAGAAGGGAATGTTGAACGTTTTAGCCGGTAAGAATCTTTCAAACTCAACCATTATAGATGAAGAGAATTTGTAATAGCAAGGATTGTGTTGGATTCAAGAACCCAAGGAGATTTAGGATGGAAGCAATAACTAAACAGTAAAGTTGCAGAATTAACATAATGAGAGGATAATACCTTTAACATTACTTAAAAGAGACTGTACCCACTTAAAAACACGTGAAACATGTTATATCATAAATTCCACATATTTTGCATTAATTTTTTTTATACAGGTACATATATTAGAAATATTCCAAAACTATTCCCGTTACTTTGCACCAGCAAGAAAACATACGCTTAAGGAATGGTATATATTAATTTTTTCCCTAATTATCTGTTCACTTGAGCCAGTTATACGAGTCGCAGCTCATATAACACAACCCAGGTTTTTCTTCCTATTGAGGGAGGGAGTTGTATTAGTGCTTCACACACTGCTATGGTATCATCTTCAATTCTGAGGGGATAGTTTGCGTAGGAGACTAACGGAAGAACTGTCTAAGCTCACTTATCCAGATCACATGGGAAGGACCCCTCCAGATAAGAGAAGGACCAGATAAGTTAGACATCCATATAAGCAGAATTCTAAGAGGGGAAGTTCACATATCACCATATTCTAAAATTTTTGTACCAAAACCAAAATAATTTGGATTTCCACACACACTATATATATACAGTATCAAAGATATAATTTAAAACAATAATTTCAGCCTACCTTGCTATGGTTCATCATCTTGTTTGATACTGTAAATGTTAACATGTGTAGTTCAGAGGTAGGGTGCAGTTGCACCTCCACAGATCTCCAGTATCAGCTAAATGATACTGGTAATGGCTCCAAAGGGCCACCACTTACGGGCTATTCATGCACGTGCCACCTATTGGGTGGCTTAATCTTCATCAATCATCAATGTGTAGTTCATGAAAATTTAAGTAACCTAATCTTCGGTTATCTGGATTTCTACTTGGAAATGGTGCAGTTTTGCCAGAAAATTATCCGGGCTTGACTTGGACACTGTGCCAGTCTGCATTACCTGCCCAAATCTCTAGTTATTTGGATTTCTGTCGGGATATGGCAAAGATTTGCTAGAAAATTATTCAGATGCAATTTTGGCAGGATAACCGAAATATTTGGTTCAGCGGGCTTCGGATAACTAAGCTCATACAGTATCCATGGCATTAGAGAATGTGAGTAGCAACTTTGCTCCAGTAGTCTCATTTGTAAGAATACAGAAAGAATTAAATTTGTAATGTGTAAGAGGAAAAGGTGGGGTAAAAGGCAGGTCAACAACTTGCTAAAATGACTTTGAAATCTTCCCCCAGAGGGCAACATTCTTCAGTAACACAAGACATTAATCTTGCACAACCATACATGTCTTGAAAGCTTCAAGCCAATACCTAAAGACTCTTGAGATAACGAATGAATACTACAACATTTAGAATTTTGGGATCCTTACCAATATGTTAAAAATATATATTTTCCAGTGTAATAATACATTTGATTTACAGCAGTGTACAGTAATGACTAAAAAATCTTAGCAAAAGTAAACAATAATGCCTGATAATAATCCCACAAAATGCACTAGTTAACTTGTAGTGTCAATTCTAATTAATGGTCCTGTTGTCTATGGATTTAATATCAGAGGATATTTTTGTATGAATTTGCACAGAAATGCAATATGGGGGAAGAAAAGCCCACGTTCCTCTCATCACTGAAAATGACACTTCGTTGAGAGCTTCCACACGTCACTTGGGAGAATCCAGGTGTTGATTTTGGCAAGATATCTTGGCAATTTCATCTCCTAAAGTGTTAAGGTTCTCCTGAGGGATACACAAATACATGGAGCATTATTTTAATGTCGTACAATTCTAACCCGAGGTGAGTTTAACTGATAGCATCAGAACAAATTCAATTCCCATTGGTTGGGGGATGAAAAGCCTTTATTTAGGCATACTGAGGCCCCCAGCTTGGCCAACTACTGACACTTCCCTAGGATGCAACCCACAACCGTTGCCTAACTCCCGGGTACCTATCGTCCTGCTAAATGAACAGAGCATTAGATGAAAGGAAACATCCAACTGTTTCTGTCCTGCTTTAAGATGAGCACATCACCCTCGGTTGTGAGCCAAGGATGCAGACCACTGCAAAACCGGACCCTAATATATTGTATATATATTGTACCATAATTAAGATAAAGTATAATACAGTAAGTAAAGATTAAGACAAGTATAGATAAACTTAATTTACGTTAAGTTTAAAACACAAATGCCATCAGCAGAAGGTAAAACTGTCCTCTCTGTGCTATACTGTATTCCCTAAGTACCCTCCAAGATATTTCATGACTGCCTACATTACTTAAGCCATTTCCACAATAAATTAAATTACCTTCTATCCTGAACAAATTGCATTATATAAACACTAATTTCACAGTACACCACAGTATTATATAACTAAAAAAGGTCTGCAATGCAAGCCATACAATCCTTTTCAAAAAGAGGATAACCTAACTAAAAACTTATGAACAGAGAATTTAGGAAGTCTTGTTGCATTTAAAAGAAATAGAAACTAAATTTATTTCATAAATGAGATTAAGAATACGCTTAAAGAAAAAAAAAAAAACTTTGACCCCAAGAGGAAACCTAAAGAGCAATTGGACTAGCACTTAGTTCAAGGAGCTATAGAGGGAAGCCCCCTCACAGAAATATTAAATACTGTACATACCTTCAGGGTAATATTCTTTAATAAGGTGTCTTCTAGAACAGCCTGTAACTTCCTATTAATCTCCAATGATAGTTCCAAGGTCATCGTTCCATCACGGGGTGCCGAGCCATACACAGAGGCCATGATGCCTCCGTGACGCATCAACTCTGCCTGTAAATGATTACTTTTGTAAAAAAATTTAATAAGGAATACAGTGGTCTTGGTAATATTGATGATGGTGGTAGAAGTGGTAATGTGTATGATGTTGATGGTGGCTGTGGTGGTAGTGTACCTGGATTATACCTGGATTGTACCTGGATGAGGTTCTGGAAGTTTTTCTATTCCCCAACATTGGCTCGGGGCTAGGTTTGACTTGCTAGAGCTTGGTCCAACAGGCTGCTTCTAGGAGCGGCCTGCAAGCCCACATATCCACTGCAATCTGGTTGGTCTGGCACTTTTGGCAGAAAACTGTCCAGTTTTTCTTGAAGATGTCCATTTTTGTTCCAACAATATTTCTTATACAGGATATTTGCTGGGAGGATATTGAACAACCGTGGACTTATGATGTTCATACAGTGTTCTCTGACTGTGCCTATGGCACCTCTGCTCTTCAATGGTTCTATTCTGCATTTCCTTCCATATCATTCTCTCCAGTATATTGTTATTTTATTGTGCAAATTTGGGACCTGGCCTTCCAGTACCTTCCAAATATTTTATTTGATACCTCTCATCTTCTTTTAAGAGAGTACATTTTGAGAGCTATGAGACGATCCCAATAATTTAGGTGCTTTGTTGTGTCTGTGTACCATATATGTTCTCTGTATTCCCTCAATTTCAAAAATCTCTCCTGCTCTGAAGGGGTAAATGAGTATGAGCAGTACCCAAAGTGAGACGGATGATGATGGGATGGTGATATGATGGTGGTGGTAAGGAATGGCCGATGTGTATGGTGATGGTGGTGGTGGCAGTGGTGATGTATATGATCTTGAGGTTATCTTGAGATGATTTCGGGGCTTTAGTGTCCCCGTGGCCCGGTCCTCGACCAGGCCTCCACCCCCAGGAAACAGCCCGTGACAGCTGACTAACACCCGGGTACCTATTTTACTGCTAGGTAACAGGGGCATAGGGTGAAAGAAACTCTGCCCATTGTTTCTCGCCGGCGCCCAGGATCGAACCCGGGACCACAGGATCACAAGACCAGCGTGCTGTCCCCTCGGCCGACCGGCTCCCTTAGACAGTAGAGTTAGTTGGTGGCTTAGGTGCAGTGTCGATGTCTTTCAAGTTTGTTGGGCGCTTTTATTTAAATATAATTTTTTTTTAGTGACACTCTTTTTATTATTGTGGGTGGGGCAAGTCTCAACAATGTGGTGATCTAAGAACTTTATGTGCTTCTTGCCCCTTTGGCAAGACAAGACTGAATTGATGGAATAGTACTCGTCACTGGCAGGCAGAGAAAGTCACAGGAACCTGACACATGAGATGTGTTGATGCAGCCGCATCCAACAGCCTGAAAGCTACACAAGATAGACACAAGGCAAAGTGGATAGCATGAGTGTCATAAGCTGAGGGGACCTGCCCAGAAAAATATCACTATTTATACAGTATTTACTTAGTCTATACAATGCTGATCGCCGTAACTATTCAATTCGCACTCACCTGGCTCTTTCGTCTTGCTTTTCCAATGTTTGCATTGGAAGACTATTGTAAAGGTATCATTAGTAAATCTGCCTTGGTAGAAAACTATAAGGTAGCCAATGTTATTACAAATGTTAATGTGTATCATATAAACTAATGGATATACTGAGCCCCGATTAACTAAATATAAAAGGATCTTACAATCCCCATTTAGGTCAGACCTAGACTATGCCATCTTAATATTTAAGTGATTGTGATTCTTAAAATGTAATTTATAATGTCTCATTTGGACAAAAAGTAAGGAATGAGTTAAGACTGATGGGAGCACAGTACAATAGAGATGAAAGTGAAATATAACAACGTTGAGAGTGCACAGATATTAAAAGCAATAAGGATGCCATTGTGGGTGAATAACAGACACATTGATTAATTAAAGGTAACAGTAGTTCACTGACTGCATATTTGTGGTTCGTGAACTCTGGAATCAAGCCATAAATATATGATAGCATTACGGCATTTTTCACCAAGCCCACAATACCAACACAGCAAGTCAAACTGTTTTGATGTGGACGTGAATAACCTTTAATGTGTCTCACACATTTACCACACAAGGGTTAAGTAAATGTGTCACCAGTTATATTCTATAACTTGTGACACATATTATAGAATATGTATACAGTATTTTATAACTATACAATTCCTAAAGAGGATATGAGAGGATACGAGATACGAGGATATTCTATAACTTGTGACACATATCATAGAATATGTATACAGTATTTTATAACTATACAATTCCTAAAGAGGATACGAGAGGATACGAGATACGAGGATATTCTATAACTTGTGACACATATCATAGAATATGTATACAGTATTTTATAACTATACAATTCCCAAAGAGGATATGAGAGTAATAAAAACAAAAGTCTACACCTCGTAGCCTACGCGCAGACGGATGCCATTCTCCAGAGCTCCTGGGCCATTTACCGTGTTGCCCGCTATGGTGTGGGACATACAAAGGCACTACAACCCAAAATTCAGATAACTGACCAGAAGGCAGTAGCACTCAACTATCTGTGGGGTGCTGATATAAACATTGTAACACTGTTTGAGACATGCATAAATGAAACTACTGTGAGAACTTGTTAAAGAAAGATATGATATGAAAGATTATAGACAAAGGAGGTGGGAGTTCTAGCACAAGAAGAGTGAAGAAGTTTGAAAAGACAACATGAGCTCTGAACAATTTAAATTGAAGACCAATAAATGAATCGAAATAACTTCTGAGACAAATAATCATGACAAGATTTAAATAAATGACGACAAAAACTAAAAAAAGCACACTTTAACTGGTGTAAATTAACAATAGTAAGCATTACATATTTTAACAGTGGCTATGCTACAAGATATATAGACCATAAGTATATATATACTGTATATTAAAAGTCTAAAATATGAACTTACCTTGGAAGAATCTGAAGCTGAGTTAGCAAGAGCCCCAGTCTCTTCTCTCATAACATAATGATGGATGATACGAGACTTCTTCTTTAGTTCCGAGACCAGGTGAGCAACATGCTCTTCTAAGAACTCAATTTTGTCAGAGCGCCGTGCAGCAGATTTCTGGAGTTTGATTATTCGATCAACCAGTAGCTGCTGTGTCACCAGAGGGTCATGAAGAGGTACAAGTTCCTATAAAAAGCAAAGAACATCAATCAATTCTACCAAAAAATAAGTAGATATAATTAATCAAAAGTTGTATTAACAATATCGACATGCAAACTGCAAAGGAGATTAAAACTTTCGTGCAAAATCAACGGCTAAAAAAAATCTTAGAATCAAGAACAACGTGAATTACTAAGCAAAACAAAAGATGAGGTAGAATGAAAGCATTAACCCATATACTGTGCAAAGCACTTTGTCTCTTGACAGGTGGTGTGCCAGATGCTTTATGCCATTTTAGGTACAGTATAGGGAAGGGGGAATTATTAGGTGAAAGCACCAAGCCATTATGACTATATAGCACTTGGAAGTGGTCAGGATAAGGATTTGGGATGGGACGAGGGAAGGGAATGGTGCCCAACCACTTGGAAGGTCGGGGATTGAACGCCGACCTGCATGAAGTGAGACCGTCGCTCTACAGTCTAGCCCAAGTGGTTGGGCACCATTCCTTTCCTCCGTCCCATAGGTATAGGGAACGATTCAAAACTTCCACAGGTATGGAGAGCTTCCGTGCTGTGCCTCATGACTCCAGTAAACACACCCCACTTTGCAAAAAAATCGTCTGCATCCCTCCTGGCAGTGAGGGCCTTAGTACTACCAGAATGACCAAGTCTGGCACATGCAGCTGCAGCTCACAACACAGCTGTGCTGGTCAGGGCCACACCACCACTTAATAATGATGAATAAAATATGCAACTGCAATTATTTTGTAATTATAGTGTCATAGGTGATCCTGACGGTAATAAAAACTATGCACACGGTTCAGATATCAGTGAACGCAATGCTAGTTATGATGTTCACAGCAGGAGGCAGACATTCACAGCACACAGGGGAGGTTTCATGCATCTATGCATCATGCATGTGTGATTTGTCAAACTTCATCACACCATCACAGCCAAAGTAAGTCACATTACAATACTTTCTTTAGTTCCATGTGATCAGGAAATACATTTTAACAATATCAGAGATAACAAAAAATTTTAAAATAATTTTTGTTCTGCATCACGGTGTTGTCATATTATACTAACGTACAGTACATGGGTTAACATAATAAGAAAAAGTTACCTATCATGAACCAAACTTAAACCTTAATCACCTGTGAATTTGGACTACTGCCATTGGTACTTTGGTATTCTATAGTATTGAGGGAAGTGTTTGAGGACGCTCGAGAGCCTTGAGACAGGGAGTCGTGTGGTGTTGCTGACTGAGACGAGTGGCCACTCAACATGACCCCGGCACTACCTCCGTTTCCTCCGTTGGTGCCATTCTCTTGGTTGTCTAGGCGCTTCCTTAGTTTCTGCATCTCCCGTGTAATGTCCTTTCAGAGATTGGAGTGGATTAGTTACCACATAAAATATCATTTAAGATAACGTCATACTATTAAGTCATGTGCAGATCTATTCAAAAATTATTAAATATACTTTGCATTCCACTTATAAACATGAACAAACAACTTAAGTGGTCAATGACCAGCAACCTTAACCTATGGTGGCTTGTAAAATTTCAATAATGTACTTTATTAATTTTCTCACTTACTCTTAAAGAATTTTTATGTTTTTTATTGAGCACTTGAATCTCGTTCTCAAGTTCCATAGTTTTTGTTGTCAACTGCTTGACGTGTTCTGTCTTTTCTGCTAGCTGCCGTTTAAGATTCTCAAACTGAAAAAAGAAATCAGTCATTGATAATTTATAAAACAAAACTGTAACCTTGTATGAAATATAAACAATTTGATCAAATATTTCAACAAAGGACTGTGTATCTTATAAGTAGCACAGTACATTTTAGGTTTTTAAGTGTTTGCCGAATCAAAAGCCATTTGATATAGAAATTGATAAAAATGATCCAGTGACAAATCTGTGAAATTCACAGGTACTATAAGAAGCCATCAAGACAAGACTAAGGAAATAAACAACTATGACGAGTGAGAGAAAATTGTGCATTGATGTACGCAACATGCAGATGAGAAGTGGCAACGAACAATACAAGTGAGAAGCAGCTTCTTCACAAAGATCAAGTGTGAGCTTCTGCCAAGGCCATAACGGTAGGGCTAGATGCGTATTGGTGCTCCTGGGGACCTTTACCTGCTTGATGGAGTTCTGGGAGTTGTTCTACTCCCCAAGCCCGGCCCCGAGGCCAGGCTTGACTTGTGAGAGCTTAGTCCAACAGGCTGTTGCTTGGAGCGGCCCACAGGCCCACATATCCACCACAGCCCAATTGGTTCAGCACTTCTTTAAGAAAACTATCTAGTGTTCTCTTGAAGATGTCCACGGTCGTTCTGGCAATATTTCTTATAATGTATACCTTTATACTTTTATTCCTCTAACCTTAATGATCGTCCAGTCACTCATCAGAGAGTCTTGCTATGTCATGGAACAATGAAATGGGTAGATAACTAACTTCAGACTGCAAGATGGAGCCTACACTAGCAAACTCTGCTATGTTTTTAGTTGTTTTATAGTAGAATTCCAGAGTAATGAGTGTAGTTTATTGTTTAGATTACAGTATAGAGTAATTCTGCAGTTGTTTTGAATTAACTTATACTCAATTAGAAATTTCTTAGTGTAAATTTAAATTATATTCTGCATCAAGAAAAGACTTGGGGAAGATTGTTGAGAGGTAAAATTCCACACTGACCCAGAGGGACCTCAATAAATCTAAAAAGGCTTCCTGACTCTAACAATATAAAACTATATAACTGGAGAGACATGCTTAGTGTAATGTTTCATGCGAACCATTTTATCTCACCTGAGAAAGATGGGCTTGATTTTCTTTCGTCAAGTCTGATTTTAATTTGGACTTCTGCACCTTTAGCTCATCCAATTCTGATTTGATCTCTCCATGCTCAAGTTCCATCAATTGTGTCTGTGTTGAAATAAAAAGAACATCTTAAATATAGACAACAAGGTTCAACTACACGAAGGCGAGAGAGGCAGGCCTTCTTGACCTCCTATGATGCAACTCTTAATACAATAATATAATGAAATACTTACCAAAATTAAAGTGTTTTCTTTTCCTTATTTACCCTAAACCCTTTCCCTAACTCCCCCTCGCTATTTCCATTTCTCACCTTTCCCCTGTAACTTGACAACCAATCCGTTGTCAAGTTACAACGGGCTACTGTTCAGCCCAACTGCTTGGGGTGGACGGTAGAGCAACAGTCTCGCTTCATGCAGGTCGGCGTTCAATCCCCAACCATCCACAGGTGGTTGGGCACCATTCCTTCCCCCCGTCCCATCCCAAATCCTTATCCTGACCCCTTCCCAGTGCCATAGAGTTGTAATGGCTTGTTGCTTTTACCCTGATAGTTCCCTTCCATTTCCCTCATCCTCTACTTGTAACTTAAACCTTTCCTCCTCTCCATTCCATCCTTCCCTGCCATTCTCCCTTCCATCCTGTCCCCTCTTACATCCACCTCCTCTCCCTGACTTTCCTTCCCCTACTCCCTGCTCACTCTCCCTTAATGAGATATTTAACTTGGACCATTTCTCCACTGTTTATAAAAATATCTGATTTATTTAATTCATATCAGTAATTTAAAGTGAACAAGTGAGTATAAACTGATCTAACTGATGAAGAATTATCTTTTTACAGGATCACTAGCTGTCATTATAAAGGTTTTCCACTAGAATTATTATAATTGATACAGAATTATAAAGTAATTTCAAGAGAAATATAGAACCTAACTTGTCACACCACTTATAATGTATATTTGAGTAAAGAAGCTAAAAAAAAACAGGAGAGGTGGACATATATATATACATGCTACATCAACCATTGTATGTATAGAGGTTTCTATAATATGCATTTGTATTTACAAAGAGTGGAAATAGCAATTGCTAAAAATTTACAAATACAGTACTCTACTAACGAAGAAGACAATTTGGCTTTTCCTGTACTGTACTACGATGGCAAGACCTTACTGTACACGAACATCCAACTAAAGAACAAAGAACAGATATATGAAAGACATCTCTGTGATTCCTTTGTGTGACTATGCTATTCAGGCACATACATTTTAGGTTACCCCTGAATGGCCTTAGGCAACACTCAACACAATTTCTGCATGCAGGCGATGAGTCACAATAACGTGGCTAAAGTATGTTGACCAGACCACACACTAGAAGGTGAAGGGACGACGACGTTTCGGTCCGTCCTGGACCATTCTCAAGTCAAAACGTCGTCGTCCCTTCACCTTCTAGTGTGTGGTCTGGTCAACAATTTCTGCATACCTACTGCATATGAAATGACAAATTTAACTGAAAATATGTTGCTAACATATCTTTGTAAATTTTACCTTTGACTGAAGCACAGAGAACTGACTCTGAATTTGTACATTTTTGTCGGTCAGTTTCTGCGTGAAAGCCAGAAGCTCAGCTTCCTTGTGGCGGCAAGATAGTAACTCGCTCTCTATTTCATTGTTTGTCGACTGTAACCGATCAATTTCCTGGTTGGCTGCAGCTAGCTGCTCACGCTCTCTGTAACATTAAGAAAGATATGAGTGCTTTTACTTGCATATAGAAACCATACTGTATTTAAAACAGCCCCTTTGAAATGTGATTTTGAAAACAAAATTTTGGCAAGGCTATAAACTAAATATTTAGGCCTTTCTACATTCATACTGTGCACCATTCAATATATTTATACAAAATTAAATGACAATGACTTGTGGAATGAAATACTTTTCCAAGTCGAGCCATCAGTTGCATCCCTAGCATGGTCCTGGGTGTACCCAGGACATCCTTCACGCACACACCAAGCTGTCATCTATATTTCCTCTAGCGTAGCAAGTTACTGCTACTGATCTTGCCATGTTCTTAGAGTGTGCACAGTTGAGAGAGCATCTCAGGCAACCCAGTTATGCCCGAAACGCTTTGCGTAATAGTGGCTTTAGGCATTGTATGCACTAGCCCTAACTATAAATCCATCACTCTTGGTAAAATCTCTTTTATGTATGTACCTTACCTAAATAAACATTTTGATTTGATTTTTTTTTTTTATTTTGAACCACAAAATGACCACTCGTCTATAAAATAAATGAACAGAAACAATCCACTAAACACCCCAATTACCCTGCAAGTGATCGCTAGGAAAGCGCAGCAAAATAATTACCAAACAGGTTTCTAGACAGACTGTTGCCTTGGATGTGCAGTAGCCTCATCCAATCCTCACGGGTAAGCTTAAGGTAGCTTTTATTACTTCTCTACTCGGAAGAAGTAATATAGGATCCTCCAACTAATAAGATTGAGAAGAAAGTTTAGAAACCCTTTAGGAAAATCTCCAGAGGGCAACTGGCAAAGCAGAATGCCCTTCCTATATCTTTAAACCTTTTAAAGGTTGGTGTTTTTTGCAGTACCTGATGGAAACAACAACAACAAAGCTTTACTTGCAGGTAGTGGGGAATGAACAATAGTGTGTTTAGCAGACAATACAGGCAATAAAGCTGCATCACCAAGCTGCGAACCACCAAGAACACAGCTTCAAGCTGAGCTTTCATCCAAAAACCCAGACTTACGGGTCGAGGAAAAACAAAACAAAATAAAAAAATAAAGAGACATTACCCATACTGGATGTTGCCACTACCTGGCTGCATGGGTAACACTGTCGCCTGTGATGGTGCATGGGTTGTTGCCACTACCTGGCCACATGGGCAACCAGGAGGCCTGGTCGACGACCGGACCGCGGGGACGCTAAGCCCCGGAAGCACCTCAAGGTAACCTCAAGGTATGGGTAATACTGACAGTGGAAATTAGAATGACATTGGAAAGGGGTTTAAGAAAGAGTGCAAATGTTAAAGTAGAATTACCTCTTCAGCTGTTGCTGCAGGTGTGCCGAGTTAGACAGCTGGTGGCCGAGGTCTGCCGCTTCCTGGCGTGAAGCTGTTACTTCTAAGCGCAAACTAGTGAACAGTTTCTCGGTCTCATCTCGTTCAGCTTCATAAGTTGCCACCTATAAAAACATTGTTAAGAGATGATTCTACTTTGTGATATTATGAATACAGAAAAAACTTTATGTATCATTTGCAGGTACACAAGCTATTTCTGGAGAAGCCCCTTGTGGCACCCTGAAGCTAATAAGCTGATAAGAGTGCCAAACTACTAAGTGCCATCAGTTGCAGAGTTCTTTTAGCCCTACTGGGCACCACAAGCCAGAACTTGGCCCCCCTCTCGGGAGGCACAGAGAGAAATGGCACTTATGATAAAATTCTATGAATTTGTTCAATTCTGCTGCCACTAAGAAAGGCATTCACAAAGTCAGTGAAAGAAAACAGATCACTGCTGGTTATAAGCAAGACCACAGCTTTAAAACTGCCAAAAGAACTGCTTGATGGGGTTCTGGGAGTTCTTCTACTCCCCGAGCCCGGCCCGAGGCCAAGCTGGACTTGTAGGAGCTTGGTCCAACAGGCTGTTGCTTGGCGTGGCCCGCAGGCCCACATATCCACCAATAATGTCAACAATAACAAAATTCATGAAATTAGTGCGAGCTCAAATGCCCAACCTTACTCCCCCTCATTTCGGGAGCAGGAGGAAAGCGGCCCGGGTGAGCTGGTTGCTCCACCCTCAGTTCATTGTTGTTGTTTGTCTTTTTCTTTCTTGAATTTTCCTCGATTTCCATCTCGTGCCAAATACTGTCGCCTCATAGTGTGTGACATTGAGGGAGCCACTTCAGCTTGCATTTGGGGTCAATACTACCCTTGCTCCATTTCTCAAGCTCACGTGCACTGTTTCACCTCTGGCCTGCTCATGCATGCCTGAGCCAGCTTGGTCTTTCGACCATGTTCTTTTCTTCCATTCATCCACTCATTTTACATTGTCCACTTTGGTCTGGGATTGTTTTTTTAGGGTGTTATTTCTGATTTCTCTTACCTTCAGTTGTGTCATATGTGAGCTTCATGCACTTTGGAGTAGGGGTCATTGTTGATTTGGTCCTGGGGGCCGGTTTGTTCATTTGCAGCTGGCTCCTCCTTTTCTGACAAAGAAAATAGCTTCAGGGAGCCACAGGAACTTCCCCCAGAAAACCATCTAACTGTGAAGACTAAGCCACACACCAGAAGATGAGGAGACGACGCTGTTTCGGTCCGTCCTGGACCATTATCAAGTCGATTGCGATGATGATAATGGTCCAGGACTGACCGAAATGTCGTCGTCTCATCTCCTGGTGTGTGGTTCAGTCTTCATATCTTCAGCCACGTTATTGTGACTCGTCGTCTTCATTTAACCATCAATGAATTTAATGAAACGTCAATTTCAAGATGAGCCCCAGTGGCTCCCTGACACCTTCCCTCCCTCAAAGTGTAAGGCATCTTTCCATCATCACAGAACTGAGGGTGGAACTGCCATATGATCCAGGCTGCCTTCTACCTCCCCGCAAATCAGAGAAGGAAGTGAGACGAACAAGCTCGCATAAGTTTCATGATTTTTCGATAGTTTGTTTACATTGTTGGGGAGTTCTTTTGGTGGTTTTGAGGCTGTAGTCATGCTTATATCCAGCAGTGGTTTCTTTTGTTTTACCACTAAGAGGGTGCCTTCCCTGGTGGTGGCAGACATGAGTAAATTCATAAAATTTTATCGTAAGTGGCACTGGTCTCTGCGCCTCTCTGGAGGGAAGCCAGGTTCTGGCTTGTGGTCCCCAGTAGGCCTAAATGAACACCACGACTGAGGAAGGGCATAAAGAGCTACATCTTGCTCCTCCCATAGTTACTGACAGGTAAACACTGATAGGTAAGCACTATTCTCTTATAAATAAAAGATTTTGTGTGTCAGTAAAATTTAATTCAAGTAATGCTCTTAGTAATAATTTTACTAGTACAATATGGAAAAAAATTGGAGCACCGATCAAAATTAGATGCACATTTCTGAGTTAGTATGTCAGGTGTTCACTAGATCCAAAGACTTGTACAGATGCACACTCACCCCACCAAGCTCTAATGACTTGAACAAATCCACAAGGGCCATGATGAGGGTTCGAACCTATGTCTGAGAGGATCCCAGACAAGTCATTAGATGTTTCTAATGACTTGTTCACCCCACCATGATCAATAACATGCCAAATAGTTTGGCCATGTCCTTTGAGATAAGAGACCATTCTAAACTTACTTTGAGCCACTAGAGAGGGACTAAAATACCATGATGACCAAACCACACATCAGAAGATGAAGAAACAACAATAGCAGTAATATGCTGTCATACAAAAAGAATGACTATTAAGACTCAAAACCTTCCTTTAAGTAATAATCAAAATCAAACAAACATACTGTACTGTAAGGCAAGAGAGAGGTGAGGAGGAGGAAATCTTAGAGGAAGGAGCATAGTGAAAGGTACGGAAGGGATAGGTGTAATAAAGGGTGTAACAATAGGAGTAGAATGGAAGCATAAAAAATTAAGAGAAAGAAAAAGAAAGAAGAAAAAAAGGGACAGGTAGGTTTAAATTAGGTCACGTTTGTTAGAAAGTCGTTCAGTGTGTCTATATTAGAGCTAATATAGGCCCTTTAGCCTTCCTTATTCAGTAATATTTTAATTTTTATATATTGAAAAAGTAAACAAGCTGAATTGTTTTGGTACGAATCTGGAAACATAATACCTGACACAAGTGAACGTTTCCTGTATACAGTAGTGTATTTATGCCAGACATCAGCGATAATGTTCATGGCTTTAGCAGTAGTTCATTAGACAGGTATTCTTTATTCATACAATTGTATATTTTAGTATTAAATACTAGGCAGGTAAAAAAAAAAACTGCTACACATAACTTTACATAATTTAGTGCTTTAAGGGATGGTTCTAGCGTCGTGTGAAATACAGAGTTGGCAAAAGAACAAATCCACAAGGGCCGTGACGAGGATTCGAACCTGCGTCCGGAAGCATCCCAGACACTGCCTTAATCGACTGAGCTACGACAAGGTAAACTACGACAGGGTCACTACGACAGTGTAGTGACAGAGTTGGCAACTCTGCTTCTGTGTTTCAATGGCATTAGTAAAGTGGTGTCTGGTAGCCTATATCTTTCTCCCAAATACAGAATTCTTTTTTCTCACAAACAACCCCATCATGGCTTCTAAGCAAACAATGTTGACCTTCTTTCGTAAACAAAGTGAAGAGTGTAAGTAGAATAACGTACAGCAGACTGATAATGATAACAGTGAAAATGACACGAGTTGTGTTTCAACTGCTTCTAGTTCAAATTTTCAAACTGAATCCATGTGTAATTCAGAAAGTAATGGTGCTTTGAAGTCTAACTTGTATCCCTGTTCAGGTGTTTGGACTAAAGAAATGTGAAAGAAAAAAGGAAACCTATCTATGGTTAGTCTTCAGGGATGATAAACTTGGGTGTAAAGTATGTGCAAACATAAGCAATGTAACACTTTTCACTTCTAAGGGTTTAAGACTATCAAATGTGTGGCACATATACCAAGTATACTATTATGGAGCAGGCCGAAATGTACGCTTGAAGTCTCTCAAAATTTTTTGATCATAAACTATGGAAAGCTCACACTGCTGCTTTATGTGTTGAAAATGAAGCTAGTGAAGATGATTTGGAAAATTGTGTGATGCCATGAATGATTTGCATCTAAAGACAACTTGTTCAATTTGGTGTTCTGCATATTATTTAGCTCGGAATGACAGACCAGACTCTGATCACTTTGGCTTACTGGAACTACAAAAGCAAAAGGGTGTTGACATTGGAATGGGACTGCATTCCTGCACTAGCACCACAGAGCATTCAAACAAAAAAAGTATTACATGAGGATGATAAAAATCATCATCCATGATTAGGATGATTCCAATAGAATATGGGAAGGCCAGAGATGGGTGAGTACTTGATCCGCACATAAGATAGGTCCAGACCAAAGTTCAGCAAGAGCGTTCAGCAATGCTAACATGAAAGATGCATCACTTATGTTTATGAATTGCAAGCATTCTATAATTCATAATTTATGTACAACTACATCAAATACTTGAGCTAATCATATGAAAAATGTGTTAACTAACTCTTTTTCTCAGGGATGTAGCTTCCTCCCCTAGAGTCGTGTGCTTAAGCTTCAACGCCTCCAGCTCTGCTGACACCTTGTTGAAGGCTGACCCTCGGCTTTCACTGGCCTGTCGTTCCATGATGAGACGAGCTTTTTCTTCCTTTAGCTGCATATCTATATGGTAAAGTATTAATGTGCAATTCAATCATATGTACTATTATCAGCATTTAGACAGTGGGTGACAATTTCATACACTATTTCAATCAATGTCAATTCCACTCCAACAGAGCTAAACAATAGATAGCATTGATAAGTTTAACCCTTGAGGTGTGTAATTCTCTATGCCCAAAGTCATTACACATATTAGCAGAAATAGTTAACTACTGATTTTATGTGGGTTTACATCTCTCAACACCTTCTATACATTTTGATCACGTACATTTTTGCTAAGATTTTATGCAGGAAAAATGGATTCATTCCAGGAACAAGAAAAGTATTATTCCATGCAATTTGATTTGCTGTTTAATGACAAAGAGTTCATATTTGATATGATGCTAGAATATTTTAGGATGTTATGTCCGGATCAATTGAGTCAAATCTCAAATGAAAACTGTTCTTATAATGTAATTGAAAATAACGTCAAAGCTTTTTCCCCATGCTCAAAACGAAATTGTTATAATCTGTTATGATATTTCTTTTAACCAAATTAAACTAATATATAGAAAGATATTCACATATCCATTTTCAGAATAACACTTGTCAGATCAACATTTAACCAAACTCCAAATGCCACTGAGCCAAATCTGTCCTTTTCAAAATGAAAACCTGCTACTTATTTATATAAGAACAAAAAATTTTTTAGTCCACCACCATTAGTAAAACAGATCCACTGGATGTCACGTAGTCCAAACTGATACTGCAGCTGCACACGTCCTATGATTTTTGGTAATCAGATTAAATCAAATCAATATTTAATAAGGGGGTATGGTCCAATAACCATTTTGACTGAACAAAAGTCATTGCCAACATGAAAACCAAGCTTAAGACCTATTTCAAAATTTACCAAGATTTTTATAGAACTAAAATTATTTTTGTTCTTATACAAATAAAATCAATATTCACATTTCAGAAGAACCTTAGTGGGATCATGGCTAAGTCATATTTAATACAAATATATTACAAAAGTATTCAAACAAGCATAGATTCAAACAGTCACCCCTAATATTATTTAAGGGATCTCACATTAAAATCCACACACATACATATCATCTGTATGTGTGTGGATTTTAATGTGAGATCCACACACATACATATCATCATCTGTAACCCATACATTAATCAGTGTTTATTTTCATGATATACGCACATATCATCTATGTACAAGATGTGACCTACCTAGAATATTTGCCCTGGAGTTCTCGCTGTCTCTGGTGTTGCGGACAATACTCTCGGCCTCCTCTTTAATGGTCTTCAGCTCCTCTTCGTGTTTGGTGATTTTGGTTAGTGCTCTGTCCAGCTTGCCTTGTGATTCCTGTTTGGAATTAATTAGCTTAAGGAGATGAGAATAAGAGAGATTTAAAGGGTTAATATTCTGTGGCGTAGCCGACGTGAAAGCCTGAAGAAATGCAACTCCACTTGTGGATGTAATAGCAATGCTTAAATATGTTATAAAGGACAGAGCATAACATGCACAATGAAATCACAAGATATATCAAAATGTTTATCACATAGATACAGTATATCATATAGGTGTGCCATACATCTATGAGAAAACATTAACACCGTACAATGGGATGCAACCCGCATTCCTCAACACACAACAATGCCTGTACCTGATGTGCATCCATCTCTGTCTTTAACTTAGTCTGTGCCCACTTTATTTTAATATCTCTGCTGTTGATTTCTTCCTTTAGCCTCTCTACCTCACGCTGATACCAGTTATTCTTCTGAACCTGAGAGAAAGGAAAATTAAAAGCGATTAATTTCACGTGCAGACGATGAGTCACAATAACTTGGCTAAAGATACGATGACCAAACCACACAACAGAAGATTAAGAAACGATGTTTCGGTCAATTCTGGACCATTATCACAATCAACTTGATAATGGTCCAGGATGGACCGAAACGTTGTCAAATCTTCATATTCTGGTGTGATGACCCCTTCCAAGTGCTATACAGTCGTAATGGCTTGGCACTTTCTCCGGATAAGTCTCCCCTTCCCCCCTCCAATTTCTTATTGTATATGGCAAAGATAATTGACAAGGAGAGGACATAGGTTGACAGAACTTGGCATTTTGTGTGGTCTCTGTAGAACATACAAATGCTTGGCTTAGGAAGCAACTGAGGTGGCTAGTACATGACGGGCAGCTACTTACCTTAGTGTCCAGAGTTTGGCAGATCCGTGCTCGCTCAGATATGAGCATCTTATTTTTACTGAGAAGTTGCTCTCTTTCTTTCTCCATTTCTTTCATCTTCTTCTCTATTGCTTCCTTCTGTTTCTTAGCCACAATTACCTGGTGAAGAAAATAGTGAAGAATCACAGTAGATAGGGAAATAGTGTTGAAGGAGCACTTTAAATATATATATATATATATATATATATATATATATACACACAAACAGAGTGGTGAATAGTTGGAACAAGGTGGTGGTGGGAGGAGGAGAAAACTGTCAGCAGTTTCAAAACATAAAAAGTCAGAGTACTGGGAAAGACGGGACACCACGAGTATAGTTCTCATCCTGTAACTACACTCAGGTAATTACACAGCAACAGAGAAGCCTTTTGGGAACTCTAATTTTAAAGATAACTGAGGAAAAGTATCGGATGATTGAGACTGCATTAACGAATGGTGCGCCAAGTAGTAAAATTGACCACTCGTCCTTGGATCTATAATACACACTCATCAATATGAATAACTACAGAAAACTTATGCATAATGAATAAATTAACATTACATTAACTGTCCAAATACGAAACAGGTAAATTATGCCCTGCAAATGTTAAGTTTATTACACATGCATAAAAGGAGTCAGTTTAATTTTAACATTACTATACTGAAACTTACCTCCCTCTCTGATGTTGCATATTTTATAACCATTGACTCCTTATCCTTGTTTGCTGCCTCGTACTCCTTGGTCATGCGCTCAAGGCGGGCTGTAAGGTCAGAGCGAATCTTGATATTTTCGGTCATGTAGCTTTCCTCCGCTTGGTGAAGCTTTTGCTGCCAACTACATGCATCTGCTTGTGCCTAGATATTTAAGATGATATCAATTACAATCACTGTTACACATATTTGACTAACACTATTCCAAACTGTTTTTTAAATCTTTCCCACCTGGAACTAACTGGTATTAACCTCAACTTCATTAAAGAGACATCAATTTCATGAATGATAGCACATTTTAGCAACTTATATATTCCAGAGCAATAGGGAATTAAGAATACAGTACCAAGAAAATATAATTTAGTAAGACAAATAATGGGGTAAAAATCAAAGATCCAGATCACGTCATCACAATCACGAATCAAAACCATTAGTCGAGAATGAATAATACAACCTGTATATGAAACTAGAACGGCTTCTACAGTGTGTGAACTGCGTCTACAATGTGTGAACTGCTTCTACAGTGTGTGAACTGCTTCTACCGTGTGTGAACTGCTTCTACAGTGTGTGAACTGCTTCTACAGTATGTGAACTGCTTCTACAGTGTGTGAACTGCTTCTACAGTGTGTGTGAACTGCTTCTACAGTGTGTGTGAACTGCTTCCCCCCCCTCCCCCCCCACAAAAAAAAAATGGTTTCATTACATTCAACGTTACTTTTCAACTTATTTATCGAGGAACATATGCAAAATTATTGACAAATTAATCAGCCTGTGATTTTATTTTGTCCAACCTATCTATCTCAGTCACTCACGAAAATACCTCGAGGAACCTTACCTAACTTCCACGGAACAGAGTTTGAAAAGCCAGAACTACACAAAAATGATAATACTAAAGGCCAATTTTGCTTTAAATAATAGAGCAGAACTGAATATGCAATAGTTGATAGAATTCATCAAAATTCAATGCAGCAGCTGGGTATTTTAGCTTACTTGCGCAAGAGCTTTCTCCAGAGATTCTATCTGCGTTGTATATACCTGGGATGACTGGTCCGCCTCAAGGCGGTCTACCTCACTCTCTAACCTGAAATAAATAGTGACGAGTGTAGTGACAGCAGCGTGCAAATGATGTGGTGCGGAAATTATCTAGAGGCAAGTTTAGGAGGATATAAATAGGTGGTAGCTCCTTTACATACACTCGCATACGGGCCCATTTGCCCATACATAGCAGCTCCTATTTAAATCCACAATAAAAATAGATGACTCATATGAGAAAAAAGGCCTATTGCAGTTTACTTAGTTCTTATTGACACCATACATTCATTCATTTACACATACCTTACCAAAGAGCCCAACCTCTTTAAATGTTATGACAGGCCTAAAAATAACACTAGTTTAATGTGCAAGGGTTAATAATTTGCCTAAATATAAATACTGTACTGTGCTGCCTTGCAAGATGATACTAATTATAACTGAATAAACAAAAGCTGCCTCACACAAGCCAATAGTCATTCCGCAGTTCCCTCAATTCTTATTTTCTTATGAAGAGTCCATTTTATGATATATAAACTATTTAATCTTTACTTGAATTATAGTTTTAAGCTATTCAAACAATTTTGCAAATCGAATTTCAACAAGATAAATAAGCAAGCTTTGGACTTAATTTAATAGTGAACATTTATAAGACTCGACCAATGTATAACTCGTCATCAGAAAGAAAGAAAATAAAGCCCGAAACTTTTCTCAGGTTCTTGGGTGCAACAAAGTCAATTTTGCTAGGGGAGCTGCTGGATATCTGCTGGATATCTGCTTGGAAAGTTAGAGTTTTATACACAAAATTATGCATTCTCATGGTGTAAAACAAACACTACACACCAGCCCTAAATAAATGAATACCAGGTGTTTGAAAACCTCATGTTTAAAAGAATCCTAATTTTGTATAATAACACCTGGTGAATTTACTTGTATTAAATTTAAACAAGTTAAATTCCATATACTGTGACAAAAAATTTTTTTGATTTACAAATTACGAATCTCACCTTGCTTTTTCTCTCTTTAAGGTATCACACTCGTCCAACAAGCACGATAACATTTTCATAAGATTTTCTTTTGGAGCAGAAGTGAAATCCACTTGGCTGACCTCAAAGTCGGAATCGGGACTACACGCATGTGATGATGTCAAGAGGCTTTCAATTTCAGTAGGAAGATAACTAGAATTTTTGGGATCCCCATGAACTGGCTGAGAACACGCATTTGATGTTTTGTCACTGTCTGAAGAACTGGGTCTGCTTATTTTGTTCATGGTTATTTCTAAATTAGAACTTAAGGATTCTGATTTTTCTTGTAAACAATATTTATTTTCTTCAATATCTTTATCTTGGCAATTTTCCAGAGTAAATTCCACAACACTCTCATCATGTAAAATATTACTAATGAAAACTGTTTGTGATTCCCTGTCGAATATTCTTTCCTCGTCCTGTCTAACTGCCTCAAAAGACCCGTCCGCTTCTTCCAATTCTAGTAAACTTAAATTTTCTGCGGTACATGAACTATTCGACTGAGGACCTTCAACAGCTTCATTTTCAGTAGAAGCTGATAAATTAATACAAACATCCACACTTTCTTGAACAGAACTATTATCCTCAAGAACCAAAATTTCATTGTTATCAAAATGGGTTGAGTTAGTAGTTTCACATTGTGTTCTAGTCTCGAGTCCCTCCTGTAACACCAGGTGATCTAATGATGAGGACCTGTGTTCACTGCCCAATTTCTGAGCGTCAGTATTAGGATCATCCATCTTGATTTACTATGGTGTGCCTCGAGTCATATGGGCTCTATTGACATCTGAAATATTAGAGAAAAAATATATTAAAATTGAAGATTAAGGTAAAGTTACCAGTCTTCAGGCTTCCTATGAAAGTTTTTTCTCAAACTGGATAAAAAAATTAGTAACTACTGAATAAAATATTCGATTCATGCAATCAAATTTTCTTGGATGTTATCAAAACCATTTCTGCAAAGAGGTGAGGGTTTTCAAATGAAGACTAAACAGGTGAAAGCCTTAGTGATGCTTGGCAATGCACACCATTAGAGATAATGCCCTGGTCAATAGATGGCAGAATTATCTACATGGCAAACGATGAACCACAATAACGTGGCTGAAGATATGATGACCAAACTAAACATAAGAAAATGGAGAAACGACAAAGTAGTCCTGTCTAAGTGAGGCCGTAACACCAGGTTACATTAGTTTCTAGCATATCGTGGCCTAGCAGTTTAGGGCATGTGCTTGAAAGTACCCAGTGTGCAAGTTCAAATCCTCCTCATGGCTCTTACTAATTTTGTCAGTGATACATCATGTTAATGATTTATTTTTGCATTATTATTATCACCCATCTGCAGTTGCTACTCCTGTGTCTGCAATTCTTACAGGCAATACACATTTGTCCACACACTGCCTAAGTATAAGATGTTTCTCCTTATCTAATCAGCAAGCAGCAACTGGTGAATACGTAAAGTTAAGTCATGCATAGCAAAATCAGTATCGCCACAGACCAGCCTGGAGTAACACTATTTCTGACCAGCTTCAGCTCAGCTGTTTTCCCTTGCCCAGCTCTATATAATATAGAGGAATTGACAGGGTAGATAAACTATTTAGCACAGGTGGAACTGCAAACAAGGGGACACAGGTGGAAACTTAGTACCCAAATGAGCCAAAGGAATGTTAGAAAGAACTTTTTCACTGTCAAGAGTAGTTAACCAATGGAATGCCGTAGGACGTGATGAGGTGGAGGCTGACTCCATACAGTTTCAAATGTAGACATGAATGAGCCCAATAGGCTCAGGAATTTGTACACCAGTTAGTCGAGAGATGGGACCAAAGAGCCGAAGCTCAACCCCCACAAGTACAGCTAGGCAAGTACACATGCACACACTTTTATTTTAATATTAATACTGTATACAAAAAGGTAATTACCACGAGAAAGCACCCCAGAAGTTAGTTAAAGAAAATCCTAAATACTGTATGTAAATTTTGTTGTGGTTTACTTTTATATATGCTGGCAAAAGCCAATAATAAAATCTCCCGTCATTATAAGATTATTTGTGTTAAGTTTGTTGCATATTAATATATTTCCGAGTTAAATAAAGACAGGGTACAAAAATTGTCAGAATATTAAGCCAGTTGGTTATAGTGCTTGGAGAAGGTTATGAGGAGAGACTAAGGGTCTGGGATGTGAGGACAACGTGAAGGAACAGCCTCCAAAAACAAGGCCCGCCAGAAATCTAATGTGCAACTTTGCAACACGCAAAAGCTGTACTTGACCAGAAACTCCACGTAAATACACACACCACAAATAATGATAACATTTAAATAGGTTGAGCCTGGAATTCGGTTTCATGAAGTCGCCCCATTTCCAGCTTCCGAACAAATCAAGCCTTGACCTAATCTAACTTACCTAATAAGTCCAGAATAAGTTTGGTTATGATGATGAGAGGTGAGCTGGATATGGGGCGACTCGTCCAGCAACCTAAGGAATGCTGAATGAGTCAATACTGTAGCCTTACATGACCTCAAGCCCCCGCTCATATGAGCGAGGTTCCAGCCACCCCCGCGGCACTCTCCTCACACAACACTTGATACATGTGACAGAGGGCCATGAGTGTGCCCTGGGGGTGGTGGGGTGGCAGGTCAGGTCACTCACCGCGGGTCAGGTCAGGTCAGAGCAGCCAGACTCCACTACCTCTCTCCCCAACCCTGCCATTGACACTTCTGCAGATTTTATTTCCGGATCACAACAGCGACATGTCACAACAATTCTATATCATTTAATTATTTCCCCTAACTAGTTAATACCAAAGTTTTTAAAAACATCTTACTAATAATTTATAAAATTTATCTTAATAAATTTCGTTGTTTGTTATTTGTATTAAATCTAGGGTAATGTGTTAATCACAATTACTTAAGTAGTACATACGGACATTGCCAACACTGCGTACAAATTAGCCGAGATTGAGAGAAAATATAAAAAGAGCAAATTTCATGTTGGTTCATCAATCAAATTTTCTACATGTTTTCATTAATGGGGGGTTGAACCCTGAACAATATTAAGCTATAGCTATACTGTCAGCTTATTATCCTTCGAATATGATCCCGAATTTTCAAAACTGTTGCCTGAAAACTGTTTATTAAATACATAGACTGTATACATAGACTGTATATCTGAATTATATGTGTAAATACTAGTAATTTACCTGAGAGCCATTAACACTGAAGTGGTCTAGACGACAACAGAAAGCCGGCAGCTTGTCAAAGCTTCCCCCATTTGTCCTGGGGATTTTTTGAAGCAGAATTTTAAAGTTAACAATGTTTTGACATTTACAGCTTCGGCGGGTAGGCGGTTCCATGGGTTAATACCCCCTGTGGGTGAAAAAGCATCTCCTGTTCTCAGTCCTACATTGTGGCTTGTTGAGCTTGAACCCTTTGCTCCTTGTTTGCGTTACATCTGATCTTTTGAAGAAATTGACGGATAAACATCCTCCAAATTAGTATTTTAAAAGTTTTGACGAGTTTTGACGAGAAAAGTTTTGACAGTTTTTTTTTAAAGAGCGCTGTTTGTCGAAGGAATTGTATTTGTGCTGCTTTTTCAGCTATGTTTTCATTTCATGTTTTCATTTTACTCTTTATGCTCAATTAGTATTAAGCTTTAGTCATTTAAGTTTTTCATGCCCGAAACGCTTTGCGTAATAGTGGCTTTAGGCACTGTATGTACTAGCCCTATCTATAAGTCCACCAATCTTTGTAAAAATTTCTTGTATGTATGTACCTTACCTAAATAAACATTTATTTATTTATTTATTTATTATTTATTTATTAGTCCTGTCATGTCTGTGACCAGACTCAACCACATAATCTACAATAATAAACTTGGGTAAACTTGATATAGATACAAGGATATTTTCTACAGGTTTGGAGTGAATGAACCTTTTTCGAAGCTCCCCATACAATTTGGTCTAAAATCCCTGATAAATGGGCATTCACTATTATGACGATGAGTGTTGAACATTAATTATAGTCTTTTAATTGTCAGGGATAAGCAGCCAGGGATATAATTGTAATTGACAGGGATACGCACCCTATTGGGCTTGTGAATGTCTTTCTTGGCCACAACCTACAACAGTTGCCTAACTCCCAGGTACCTATTTACTTGAATAAAGGCATCAGATATATTTATTTATTTATTTATTTATGCATATACAAGAATGTACATAAGGAATGTGAGGATACAAATATGGTAATTACAGTCTTGTAAAGCCACTAGCACGCGCAGCGTTTCGGGCAGGTCCTTAATCTAAGAAAATTTTAAGGAGGTAAATACTTGCAAAAATTATAGACAAAAAAATGATAACAGATTACATGAAATGAAAAAAAGATGAGATGAGATGAGATACGCGCCTAAATTTCTCGCCAGGATTCGAACCCTGGATCAGTGCAACCAGTACTCAGTTACTAGTCAGCATTATAAATACAAAATCATGTATATTCACACAAATTTTAAAAGACACTGTCAAACTAAATTTTGTGCTAAAATTGGGAATGAATTCTGAGTGTATCAAATATATAACTTGTATCAGGAAAGACAGTTTGTTTAGTTCGTTTATTATGCACCCCATACCCATCTTGTGAGTGGTAGTGGAAAGGGTTACAGAGGCACATAATGGGCTCAGGGACTGAACCCCACAATTCATTTAGCTATGCAAGTTACAATCTTGATGAGCTAGTTACAAAATTCAATACACATCGTCACATCAACAATGGGTTCGAGATCGACCTCAAGTACAGTTTCTAAATTAAGCAACTGACATATGTGGAGAGCTAGTGTCACAAGTTATATGTTTGTCCTGCACACCGCCCCCCATCCAGTGGGCAGCGGTGGATAGGTTACAATCACTTAGTTACTACCTACAGTTAGCAAACTGGGGATATTTGGCTAAAATTTCTGGTAGCAGATCATTTTGAATGAAATATTTACACATCTCTTGAACATTGGTTATAGAATTGTCTCTGAATTCACGTATCTTTTCGCACTCCATTACATAGTGACGGAGGGTGTGCGAATAATTTTGTTGACACAGTTTACATTTGGTCAGGTCTACATCAGCAGATAATGAGAATTCCCAGAGATACTTATAGCCGAGTCTAAGCCCAGGACCTAGATACACAACAAACTACCACTCCCAGGTTTACCATGGAGTGCACAACACTCCAATCAATCGACTTAATTAAACTAGAAATGCTCTACAAATCAAGGGACCTAGAATGTGGAATGACCTTCCAATTATGTCAAAGGCTGTACCTCTCTCAACCATTTTAAGAATAAAACTAAGTATTACCAAATTAACTCCATGTAACCTTCTTTACCCCCTAAATGTCAACCCATGCCTTACTTTTTTAAACAATGCTGTTTGTTGACCAACTTGTATAATTTTACCATTGTGCTACCACTGATACCAACTTTACCATTGTGATCATTGCTGTCTTCTTATATGTGCTTTCAATTTGCTGTATGGTGCCTATTAATCTTCGTTTAAATTACCAATCAAGCTGTCAATGCAATCAATCAGAGCTTTAATATACCAATGTGCTTTAATATGCCTACTAATCTCTCTCATCTCATTTTTTCCTTTCTTGCAATGTATCTGTTATTTTATTAATTCCGCTAGAATTTACCTACTTAAAATTATCTGTTAGATTAAGGACCTGCCCGAAACGCTGCGTGTATTAGTGGCTTAACAAGATTGTAAATACTATGCTATGTATTCTCACAAACCCAATGTACCTTCTTGTATATAAATAAATAAATAATAAAGCAAATCAATAAATAATTGCTGATTTCTGCCATGTCCCCTCCCCCTTTTTTATTCCTTTATTTTTTAACACAATTTATACTTTAATCCCATTTACCCATTTAGGAGCCGGTCGGCCGAGCGGACAGCACGCGGGGCTTGTGATCCTGTGGTCCTGGGTTCGATCCCAGGCGCCGGCGAGAAACAATGGGCAGAGTTTCTTTCACCCTATGCCCCTGTTACCTAGCAGTAAAATAGGTACCTGGGTGTTAGTCAGCTGTCACGGGCTGCTTCCTGGGGGTGGAGGCCTGGTCGAGGACCGGGCCGCGGGGACACTAAAGCCCCGAAATCATCTCAAGATAACCTCAAGATAACCATTAAGTTTTAGTCTAAGTGTTTTTTCCTCCACACCTTGCCCAAAACGCTATGCGTATTAGTGGCTTTAGGTATTGTATGTACTAGCTCTATCTATAAATCCAACATTATGTTTGTAACTGTTCATCTATGTATGTACTTTCCTGAATAAAGTTTTTTTTTTTTAACAAACTACCACTCCCAGGATTACCATGGAGTACACAACAAACTACCCGCTCCTAGCCACAATCATCACCTGAAACAATAAACAGACACAAAAATGCCTAACCATCACATAAAACTGTCTTTGCAAGTCAACATAAATGTCTCTCACGCTTGACTACCAAGTGAAGGGAACTATCAGGGAGAAAGAGCCAAGCCATTACGACTATGTAACACTGGGAAGGGGTCAGGATAAGGGTTTGGGATGGGACGGGGGAAGGAATGGTGCCCAACCACTTGTGGATGGTTGGGGATTGAACGCCGACCTGCATGAAGCGAGACCGTTGCCAAAAGTGTACTCAAGATCCATATATACCTGTGGTATGGTGGTAGAATGGGGTTGTTGGGATCAATAATATAATAAATGACTATCATGAATCTTGCGGTAAGTACCCAAAACATTGATATACTTTGCGGTAAGTACCCAAAACATTTATATACTTTGCGGTAAGTACCTTAAACATTTATATACTTTGCGGTAAGTACCCAAAACATCTATATACTTTGCGGTAAGTACCTAAAACATTTATATACTTTGCGGTAAGTACCTAAAACATTTATATACTTTGCGGTACCTTAAACATTTATATACTTTGCGGTAAGTACCCAAAACATTTATATACTTTGCGGTAAGAACCCTAAACATTTATATACGTTGCGGTAAGTACCTAAAACATTTATATACTTTGCGGTAAGTACCTAAATCATTTATATACTTTGCGGTAAGTACCCAAAACATTTATATACTTTGCGGTAAGTACCTAAAACATTTATATACGTTGCGGTAAGTACCCAAAACATTTATATACTTTGCGGTAAGTACCTTAAACATTTATATACTTTGCGGTAAGTACCTTAAACATTTATATACTTTGCGGTAAGAACCCTAAACATTTATATACGTTGCGGTAAGTACCCAAAACATTGATATACTTTGCGGTAAGTACCCAAAACATTTATATACGTTGCGGTAAGTACCCAAAACATTTATATACATGACCTCTGATACGACAATTGTCAACAAAACACACACATCCGTCCTTATCTGCTGTAGAAGTTGCGTGGCTCGCCGCGCTCTCTTACGATGATGTAACCTGCCCTTGTGGCTGCTAGTTTGGTCGCTTGCAGGCTATGGCTAGTCGACAGGACTGAATATATATATTAATGTTATACCTAATAGCCAGAATGAACTACTTAGCCTACTATGCAAGGCCTGGTTTGCTTAATAAGGGGAGTTTTCCTAAAAAAAATTTTTTTTTCTTATGGAATGATAAAGCTTTCCATTTTATATATGATTTTTTTTAATTTGAATTAAAATTAACGTACAAATACGACCTAACTTAACC